CAGACATGGATTTCGGCCTGGTGGATGAAGAGTCGGCCACGGAGCTGCGCAGCTACCAGATCTCCTTCGTGGTGCGCAGCCGCTGCCCCTCGATTGGCCGCACCTTGCATGAGCTGGGCCTGCCTCGCATGCCGGAGGTCCAGGTGTTGGAGCTGTGGCGCGCCGGTCAGGTGGTCCCAGAAGGATTGCGCACCCCGCTGCTCCACAAGGACATAGTGAAGGTGACTGCGACCGCCGCCAGCGTGGCGCGGCTGCGGCGGGCCTACGACGGCCTGGAGCCGGCGGTGCACCGGGATTTGGAGATCCTGGGCGCCCGGCGGCGGCACCGCCGCCTCTTCGAGGCGGTGGTGGCGCCCAAGTCTCAGCTGGCTGAGGCGCCGCTGGCGCGGCAGAAGGAGCGCATGCTGCGCCTGGGCGCGGTGATTCTGGCCGTGCGGCGGCCAGGCGGCACTCCGAAGGAGGCGGCGGGCGCCGGGGACGTGCTACTGCTGGAGGCGCTGCCTGGGTGCCTGGAGGCCGCCGGAGACTTCACGCTGGTGGCGCCCGTGGAGGCATCCAAGCCACCGCGCGCGGGCAAAACCCAGGACCGGCTCCGCGGACTGCTCTGCCTCCTGGGCTTCCTGGCCGTGATCCTACTGAATGGGGGTCACCTGGTCCCCCTGGCCACTGCAGTGCTGGTCCTGGACTTCCTCTGCTGCTTTTCGAAGGCCCAGACATGTGGTCCGACTTTGGGGTTTTGATTGACGCCTGGTGCTGGTTCCGGTACTGTGAATGCCAAACTGGGCTACACGTGCCTCATTTTGGTTGTGTTCTTCATGGAAAATGGCGTTGCCTTTGCGAGGGGTGCCTTCCGTGCCTGTGCGTTCAGGTGCTGGGCTGGAAGGAAGCCATGCGCTCCGTGAACGGCAGCGTGATCTTGACGATTGCCGCCTCCTTCGGCATCTCCACTGCGTTGACACAGACGGGGGCTGCGTCGGCCTTGGCCAATGCCCTGCTGCATGTGGACTTGCCGTGCTTGGTGCTCTTTCGTTTTGCGCTTTCTTTTCTTTCTTGTGTCAATTTTTGCTTGCCTTCCTGACCGGCCAAGCTCTGTGAAGGTGGGACTCCACTACGGGCCTTTTGGTGTGCTTTGCATGGTCTATGCTGGCACAGCCTTGCTGACCAACATCATCAGCAACACTGCCACCTGTGTGATGATGATCCCCGTGGCGTCTCATGTGTCACACCAGCTTCAGGCAACAGACTGCCCCTGCCCCTTCAACGAGAAAACCTTGCTCATATTGGTCATACTTGCGTCCAACTCTGCTTTTGCAACACCTTTGGGATCTCCTTGCAACATTCTAGTGGTGGATGCCGGCGATTACAGCTTTAGCGATTTCTTACGTTTCGGAGGCGTGCTGCAGTTGATGATGATGGTGGCGACCTGCTGCTTGCTGTATGCCTACCCGTGTGCATAGTTTCCCGCCGGGCGGCTCCTTTGCCGGCTGCGCTTTGAATCAGCCGAGACCAAGTGAGTCAATAGCCCTGTCCAGAAAAGTTCTCAAGCTGCGCTTGTGCATGCTTGGTAGAAATTAGATGTGTCAATCATGCGCTGTTGGCCTCAATGCACTTGAACATCTACCTTTGGCGCGCGTTGCGGCTCAAGTGACCTGCAACTCTGTTGAGACACTCGTTGCAGGGCTCCAGCCAGATCTCACACCAGTGCGCCAAGCAAACCTTGCAGCAAGCGATCTTCAAAACACAAATCAGGACACAAGAGAGCGAGCTGGCAGTTTGCAGTTTCGAGCTGCCGGATGCCAGGCTTGGCCCTGTTTGGGAGTGATGTGTTAGCTAGATGGCAGGGGAATGCAACGACTGGTTGTCTCCATTGGAGGTTCCATCCAGGGGTGCCAATGGTACCATTTTGGGGTAGGTGCACCATGGCCACATATGAGAGCTTCCAGACGGCCTCTTTAACTGGAACCAAGTCTTCCAAAGGAGTGGGAGCTTCCATGGAATCGCCTGCTTCCCAGGTGCTCTGCGCTCTTGCGGGGACCTGTTGTGGACGGACTGGGGCAGGCGCGGATCTTCTTGTTCCATGGCTCAGTGCGCTGGGTGTTTCTCTCATTTTTCGGGGGACCCCATCCAGGTAGGCGGTTTCCTTGCGACCCGGAGCGCTTTGTTATGCGAAGCATCCCGCAGGGAACCTGCGGACTTGATTGATGCTGCGATCAAGGCCTGCAGGGGAGCTTCGGAGTGGAAGGGGATACTCTCTTGGTGAAGCTTGCCGGAGCCGTTTCTTCGCAGGTTACAGCGGTCGTTCCTTTGTTTTTGGTCTCTCCCAACTGCCCGGGAGGTGCGCCCAAAGCCGGCCAGCTTTCACCAGCAACTTGCCATGGCGAAAAAGCCGAGTGAAGTTGGCCGCTCGCTGCTATGGCTGAGGTATGGGAAATGGTATCCTCCGGAGATGAAGGATGAAACCAAAAACTTTGGGTACGAAGCTTGGCCGAAATCTCTGGGAGGCTTTCTGGAAGCTGTTCTGCCAGCTAAAGCAGACCTTGATTTGGGTGTGGGTCAAAATTACACCAGGAATTGGTCGTCCTTGGTTCCATTTACCCATGTTGGAGGGTTACCTTATTTTTGACCCACGGCCAGTTCGCACCACTTAAGAAACCAGGTTTGAAACCATAATCTTGGCGTTGGGGAATCATATGCTATTCCCTCGGGTTTCTGAACGGTGCCAAATGGATTTCGCGACCATCCACACCATATGGCTATCAATTTTCATGTTTGAAACCCCCTGCACAGTGGTTGGTGGACATAAATCCCCAGCAAATTGTGATGTCCACCATGTCGGCTCGCCAACTAATGTTGGCCCAGGACTAATAAACCCGTCCCATTAAGTCCCATTATGAGGGGGGTGTTCCCTCCAAAAGTGGTCTGAATCCCCACTCAAAGGGGACACCCCCCTATTAATGAACCAGGGGTTTAACTTCATCCCGGGGTTAACATAATGTTTTTGGGGGCATGTACCTTTATCATAGCGTATGTCATTTCATGCCGATGTCCAATGCGACATTTGGCTCAAGCTTTTCACTACGTCATTTCCTGTCCGCTGTTTCGTCGCTCATAACCGCGCGGCGCGGCACGCCATCCCGATCTTGGAAAAGATCGAGCTGGTGCGGCTGCGGTGGGTTTCTGGGTGGAGCAGGTCGGATTGGGGTTTGGTAGTGTGCGTATTGTTTGCTTGCTTGCTCGCTTTGCTTTGCTCGCTCGCCTGTGTTGGTGCTGCTGCTCTGCTCTCGCTCGCTGTCTGCCCTTGCTGGGCTTATTCTTCTGTTTGTTCAACTGGCACCCTTTTGGTTCGTGTTTGTGCCGGCCGGGGGCAACTGCTTTGCCCTTGGGACCGGGGGGATAAGGTGGTCTCTTCTTGTTGGTGGGTTAGGGCCTGTTTTATCCATCCCGAAACTCTGTTTCAAACCCTTTCGCAGGTTATCAGCCGTAGGATTCGTCCTCGGTTGGCACCGCGAACCCCATTTAATAACAACCCTGCAGGCGCCGTTTTCCATAGGCTACTGTAGGACTCATGGCGGGAATCACGAGGATGGACCTCATGTGGTGACCGATGAATGGGTTCTCGGCCAGGCCGGAATCTTGGACGTTGTGAATGACGACCAAGTGCCCGGACAGCCGATGTTTTCCGGTCCTGACTTTTTGTCGGACCACACTTTTTCCGAAGCAATGCCTTCAGGAAGGTCCAGTGCTACTCGCACTGATGACCTATCGTCTAATGCCTCAAGAGCTAATCGCTCTCAGGGTCATGGGGCTAATCGTCCTGACCATGATGATTCCGTCTCAGGACGTGATGATGACGAGCCCGGTATTGCACCTGGAGCTCAATCCTCATCTTTCCCGGAGCTGATGAATATTGGTCAGTCCGAGTTTCGTGACTCTCGAAGTAGCAGTAGACCTGTGCCAACCAGTAGTATAGTTTTTCAAGCGCTCGGTAATCCCGAACCTGGTACATCCAGTGGAGTTGCATTCGATGTTCATCTGCCGACCGAATCCGGTGGGCTCGATTGGAGAGCCTCATGGCCCAACGACGGAAACATTTTTGGTATGGATTTTGCCGCATGGATGCCAGGGCCACCCGCCCCGTCATCTTTCCCGCATTTCCAAAGCCCAAAACGAGCTGCTGGAAGTGATGAATTCATGCTACCTTTGTCGATTGAGAATCTCAATCCTGATGTGGCCAGCCGTAACGTCAGGCCAAGACCGTCGGTAAACCCGACCATGAGGAACATGTCTCCTCCCCCGGGACTTTCAGGATTTGAGAGCCCTAGGGAGCGTAATATCGTAGATAGATTGGATTTGCATCCCAGTCCAACCCCAAGCAAACGATCAAGGTCAAATTCGACTGGATCGCATAGGGCAAGGGGGATGGATCGGGAAACTGCTCACAGGGGTAACCCCAGTGCGCGGGACTCAGGACGCGGCCGATCAGGTGACCCAGCGTCAATCATTGGAAGAGACCCGTTAAACGCGGACACACTCGTTAACGTGCTTGACGGGATCGAAGCATTCCAGGAGGAATTTAATAGGTCTAGTGGCTTGAACGCGCAAGGTGTTCGCCCTACGCCCAACGCGGCTTCCATTTTCGCTCTGGGCAATATGGACGGAGCTAATGTTCCGATAGAATCTGAGTCCATGATGGCATCAAGTTCTAGTCGCAATCATACCATCAGTAATGCAACTGATATTGAATCGATGTCTGAGTCTAGAGTGTCCAATGCGACCGACTTGAATGACATTGTTATTGCTGACTCGAGACCTGATTTTCCTATGCGAACGGATAGGCCTGTTGTTCCTAAACTGTCCGTTGCCAAAGGCCTGGGCATGACACAACCCTCTGCGGTTCGTGATGCTAGGAGATCTGCTCCGTATCAGAGTCAATCTCCTAATCGGAGTGAGTTCCCACGGCCATCAACGGCCGTCCAGGATGATTTCAGAACTCCTCCGAGATCTAATCCAATCATGGTTGATTTGTCCACTCCTCGAGATCGCGGATCAGGATTTGGTCCTGCGAGTGAGGAGCAACCCAACGAGGTTGCTGATCTTGTAACAGCCCTTGAAAGAGGGACGGTGGATTCTTCGGTAAGTGCGATCATTCATCGCCTGGTTGCTAAGGTCGAAGACCTTGGGCGTAGGAATGATAGAAGTGATCAATGCATCAAGCAGCTCTCCACTGAGGTCGACTCGTGGAGGGCCAAATACGAACAATGTGTCCATGTGAGTAGCACGTGTACGCAGGCTGCGAACGCGGCCATGCAGCTATCACAAGGGAGTAAGGACATCGTGACCGAGCTTGGCCAACGCGTCAAGATCGTTGCCGATCGCATGATAAGCATGGGCGATGCCCTAAGTGAGCGAGCCAGCTATGATGATGTTGCTCGCTCCATCACCCAGGTTCAAACTGTTTTTGAATCTCTTTCTGATCGTGTAACCGGGCTTATAGCTCGTGTTGATATGATCGAGAGATCTCTAGTGGAGAGCCAATCCAACCATCCTGCGATTGGTGGAGTAAACCTCAAAATCGAGGACCTGTCCACTAGGGTATGTCAGATTGATAGGATGATGCAAGATGTCGAACAACGCTGGACCAATGATAGGGACGGCATAAGGTGGGTTAAAGACCAACTTTATGAGACACAAGCCAACCTTGAGATAAAGTCAAGGGACTGCAAATCCTACACGGATAAGCAAAATACTCATAACATGGCCGTTTCGACTACGCTCAACAGTAAGCTCGAGCAAATGCTCGAGGTGCTGGGTAATACAGCCCAGAGAATTAACTCCCTAGAGTCAAGGCACTCGAACCAGGCCTCAAGCAGTGGATTGAACGATCACACAGGAGTGCCGCATCCCGTACTCCGGATAAGCGGCCACCTCCACCTGGCCCTCCTGATGATGATCCTCCACCACCTCCTCCTCCAGATTGGCAAAGCCCAGGAGGAGGGGGGAAGAAGAGTGCCGCCGGTGGGAACCCTGGCAACCCTGGTAAACCCAGATGTAAATACGTAGGTGATGGATATAATCATCTCATGGCTGAGTTTCACTGCAAGGGATGCAAAGGTGATATTTGTGAGTATTGCTTCTCATTTAAAGAGAACCTGTGTGAAGAATGTTCCCGTAACGGACCCCGATGCGGAGTCTGTAGGGAGAGCTCGTTCCTGACCAAGGGAATTGAGTGTCAGTTTTGTAAGACCTACTACTGCACCAGACATTCTGCTGGGCAGGACGACTACAAGAGATTTGGATTTGTCCAGGGTCCCTGTTGTCTTGCGTGCCTTAGGGACGAAACTAGGAGAAGAAGGGATCCCGATGGTAACCGTGTCAGGAATAGGTCGCCTGGGGGCGTACCTGAGACGAACCCGACGCGGTCGTTCTCGCCGCCTCTGCGGCCACCCGTTGACAGATTCCGTGACACCCCAACTGGGGGTCAACCCAACGCGGCTGACCTTCAGAGTCCTCCGAAGGCTACGCAACCCGTGCC